CCACCCCTCCCCACTATCCTCTGTCATCTGCCCTCTCTAAAAGAGAAGGACCCTGGTTTAAAAAAAAAAAAAAGAGTAGTCACAAAACTAATCTTTTAAAAGAAATGAACAGTAGCCTTAATATTGGTAAAACCTCCCTCTGCCATCCCTCTCTGCTGTAAAGTGAAGTTCACAGCAGCCGCTTGTCCCAGGCTGTAGTGAGATACTCCAGGTAGGACGCTGGGCATGGCCCTGGCACATCGTAGGCACTCAATAATAACAAGTCAGGGCCCTCCCTGGTGGTGCAGTGGGTTAAAGCACAGCACTACGAAGTAGCTGCAGCTGCCTCAGCGCCAGTTCTATCCCCGGCTCCGGAGGTGACCACATGGCGCAGCAGACCTCTCCTGACCCGCCCGCTGCGCCCCTCAGCAGTGTACTTTGTCGATCTGCCTGTTCTGCTCCCTACTCTGTCCCTGGTGAATTCTCTCACCCTCTGCATCTCTGGCCTGTACCCCAGCTCTATATGCATAAATAAATAAATCTTTAAAAAAAAACAATAATAATAAGTCACAGCTGCTATTATTATTGATTGATGGCAAACTTAACGCTTCATGTGCTAGGGTCTGGGCCCTGCTTTAAGCACATTCCAAGTATGAACTCATTTATTTCTCACAACAGTCTTCGGAGGTGGGTTATTATATTTACTTCTACTTTATAGGTGAGGAAATAGGCACTGACGAGCAGCTTTCCCAAGACTACCCACCAGATCGCCAACTCTTAATCCTCCAACTCTTGATCATGGGACAGAGACTATGTGAGCCCATAAAAGCTTTGGGGGGTGGGGGGCGCAGGTGGAGTCAGGCATTGCCTTTGATTCGGCCCAATGAGTGCCCTGGAGTTCATGGGTGGCAGGTAGGAGCAGAGCTGGTGGGTGCTAAACCTTCAGAGGAGGAGAAACAGCTTGTGAAAGGTCTGGAGAGTCACTGTGAGTGGAAGGGAAGGCCCAGGGTGGGGGAAGGAGCCTGCCGGGGTGCGCCCGCCCGCCTTTGGCCTGAGCGGGTGAGCAGCCTGCAGGGTTGCAGGGTTCTGGCCATCTCACTGCTCACTGTCCCTGACCTCAGTCTCCATGCCTTCTCCAGAGGTCTTCCAGAGACCCATTTCATGGATGAGCCAAGGGAGGGCTGGTCTCCCGCGGTCACCCCCAGGCTAGGCCACCTGCAGACCCTGAGCGGTGAGGAGAGGGGTGGAGCTCAGGGCTGGCTGTGGAGGGGCCTGGCGGCTGGGCGCTCCTGCCCACCCGTGTCCCTGGAGGGAGCTACGGCACAGACGTGGGCAGGGAAGAGGGGACACTGTATGTTCCCAGAGCTGCTGGCAGGAATAGTGGTGCTGTGGGCAGGGGCCGGCTGGCAGCCATCAGCCATCAGGAGTGGGGCAGTTGGGAGCCCAGGGAGAGAGAATCTTGGGCAGGCTGGAAGAGAGCAGGACTTGTCACCTTGGAACTTGTCACCTCAGTGCTCCCTTTGGTGATTCCCTGATATTGGGGGAGGGGCAGTGTGTGTCTGTTAAGGAATCCTTGCCGTGGTCTCTGCCCTGGCTCAGATGCTGAGGCCTGAAAGCGACGTCATGTGCCCGGGGTCACGTGGTGATTCTGATGGAGGTTTATCAGGCCCTCGCAACTGGTCTGTGGGTCATTCGGGGCTTGCTCGTCCTCTCGAGCCCAGAGCTCTTGGGCCTGGTGCCCTGAGAATCTTATCTGGGCCCTGTGCCCACGCGCCCGCTCAGGCTGCTCCCACCTCCCTGGGTGGCCTTAAGCCGGGCGCTCTGGTGCTTGCCTCTCAAGGGGGATATCTCACTGTGGGCTCTTGGGATCAGTGTGGCAACCTCCTGGCCCCGCCCATTCATGTGCTGGGCTTCCTAGCCTGGACTGGGAGATAGAAGCTGGATTGGCAGGTGGTCGTTGAGGCCTCCTAGTCCCATGGACCTCACCAGCCTCAGGACAGTCCCGTGGGCAGGTGGACCCAGAAAGAAGCCTCCTTCCCAGTGACCTCCCTTGTGGGTGTGGGCCTCGAAAGAGGGAGAAATGGAGGGAAGTGGAGCCATCACTGGGTGCCTGCCTTTAGCCTGGGGAAACTGAGGCTGAATGACGTAAGCTGACCTGCCTTGTTTGCTCTCTCCAATGGCCTTTGCCCAAGCAGTCCATTCTGCCTGAGTCACTGTCCTCTCTCTCTTACCCTACTAGTCCTTTGGAGCTGGAGATCACTGTGCTATGACAGGCTCACTGTAGGACGAAGGCTCAGTGCCATGAGGAAACGTTCATGGTTAGGCTTTTCTGGCCTAAATTGCTGTGCAGATCCCCCTTGGGGCCTCCTTTGGACCTCCTCATGCCTGGGTCAGGGGCCAGAGGGACTCAGTTAGGCTGGGGCCTCCCACTCCATAACCCCTTGCCCATCTCGCCTTCCTGTCTCAGGACCCTTGCACATGCTGTGCCCACCTGCTGACGTCCTTCCCATGCACCCTGGCAGACACAGTGATGACAGGATGGCTTTAGTGGTGTTCCAACCTGGGTTGGCATCCTCACTGTCCACTTCCTAGCTGGGGCAACTGTCTACAGCCTGGAGTTAAATGACTGCTCCAGATAGCTTCAGGGAGGTGAAGGGGTAGCAATGAACCCGGGGGAAGAAGTGGGCCTTGTCGGCCTACCCCATTCCACCCACCACCCTCCACTGGAGCAAACAGCAGTGCTGGGCTTGGGGGAGGACTCTGAGTTGGCCCTGGACCCTGCCAAGACTCACCCAGCCTCTTTGTACCCTTCTCAGGTGCAGTCCCTGGAAGGGAAGCGCAAGAGGGAGGGAGGGATTTGGCACTCAGAGCTAAGAGTGCTAGGAGGTGGGATTTTAGTCACAATGCCTGTCTGTGCTTCAGTCTCCTCCTCTGGAAAATGGGGTAACAAGAATGTAGGTGCTGAGTAAAGAGGAGTGACTACTATTGCCATTAGTCATGTTATCATCATTGCTCATACTCCCCTCACTCTGAGGCTAGAGTCCTAGTTTCTACAGTCCGAAGCGGCTTGTAGAAAAATTGAACAGATAACTACTATTGAGTTGAGAGTCTGAAAGTGAAAACAGGAATTGGCTGAAGCTCCCTGCCTGTGGGAAGCTTCCAGTCTGGGCAGGGAGGCCACAGGAGGGTTGAAAAGGGACGCGGCCCCCCCACAGTGGAGTGGGTGTATTGGGCAGCACCTCTCCCGTGCTTCCTCCTCTGCAGACGGGCCAGAGCTGCCTGGCAGTGCCCACCCCACAGGGCTGCTGTGAGGAGGGAGAGGGCAGCATTTGAGAACCCAGGCTCGGAGGCCCAGAGAGGCCGTGCACTTACTCCGTAAGTGGTCCTCTTCAGGTGGTGTGGCCTGGGACCAGCCACACTCCTGGCCTGGGGTGCCATCCCCCAGTGAAAAGTGCACCGACTTAGTCTCAGTGTAAGGAGTCCCTGGCGAGCCCCCCGGGAACAGTGGCATTGGGGAGAGGGACTGATGGTGTGGGGTCAGGAGAATTAGGGTCCCTAGCTGGCCTGAGCTGAGCTTTTCTCTGTCCTGCTCTTGGGAGATGGGGCAGACTGTTCCTGTGTAGCAGGGACCTGAGGAGAACAGTGACTGCAGAAGTGTCAGCAGTCTGGCAGGGCCGCAGCTCTCAAGCATGTCCTGTGTACTCAGGGTTTGCTCTAGTGATCTCCTCTGCCTTTACCCGGCCCTGGGATAACTGTGGGCATGTCCTTGGTGCTCCTGTTCACTTGTCTTGAGTCCTCCTGTGGGCTGCAGCAGGGAACCCCTTGAGCACGATGCTGTAGCCCACCTGACTCAGACAGGTGCTGTTTGTTCTCCTTTCTCTAGAGGCATGATAGAAGGCCTTCACCTCTTCCCCCTGCCACCTCCCCACATTCCGGTCACAGCCTGCACTACCTCCCCGACCTGGTTAGGCCACTCTTATCAGGAAACATTCCTGGGCCAGCTGAGAATGGTCCCCACCTTGGGCCCTTTGGAGAGGAGGTGTGTTGCTGAGATAGGCCCTATCATCCCTTTCTTGGGGGGATGGGCCTTAGGCTGAAAAGCCAACAATCTGGGTCTATCTGCTGATAATGTCTCTCGTGAGCTGTGCGACCTTAGACAGGCAACTTGATGTCTCTGAGCCTCAATTTCCTCATCTGCGGAATAGGTGGGACCCCCGATGACGCCACAGGCTCACCTGGGCTCATGCATATAGAGTCTGCTTCGCCTGGCGCCTAGCACAGAGTGCCTCTGCCATCAGCTAGCTGCTACAGTCATCTCGAACCACTTGTCCCTCCTCTTTGTGGGGTCCCAGTATGGACCTCATCTGTGTCTATCTTCTGAAGACTATTTGTCATCATAGTGAGGACTTTCTCTTGGCCAGAACTGTGGGATGGGGTGAGCCGTGAGGCTGCTGTGTGACGGTTGGCAGTCCCTCTCCCTCTCTGAGCTTCCTTTTGCTGGTCTGCTTTCTCAGCACTTGGATGTGGGTATGGCCATGCCCAGCCCCTAATTGTGCTTTCTGTAATTCCTTGGCAGGTGCAGCCACTTGATTTTAGTCTGATTTCCCCAGGACAATGCATAGTCAGTATTCAGTTGGGCTTTGTTGCAGGAGCCAGTGAATGCACAATGATTGAGTGAATACTGGGACTTTCCTACCTGCAGGCTTTTGCTGTCCCTAGTCCTCTGCATATGGAGATCCTTATTGCCCTTGGGCTCTCCTCAAGCCCTGCTTCTCCCAGGAAGTTTTTCCCAGTGGGAGGGGATTGCTGGAGCAATCTGACCACTTGTCTGAGGCTCTCTGGTGGCACCTGTTACAACCCAACTTGGTATATAGTAACATGTTAGTAACCAAGGGCCTTGCTTTTAGGGAGCCAGACTCAGTAGGGAGCTCTGTGCTGGCTCTGTGCTTGCACTGACTAATCCAATGCTCCAGCAGCCTTTCCAGGTATGTTATTATTATTCCTTCCTTTACAGAACATTCCAGAGAAGTGAAGTGACTTGTCCAGCTATGAGAGAGAAAGCCAGGATTTGAAAACAGGTAAGCCCGTGTTTTTTTTCTTAAAAAGGAAAGAAAAAGCATCAACACATACATACATACCACAGTAAAAAAGTAATTGGCACAGTGTAAATGAAGACAGGGGAGGATAAGTCTCTCTTGCTTCCAGGTCTCATTGGTTGCTAGAGACACCAAGGGAAGAGTTCCAGGTGAGACCCAGGCATGTACAGGTGTGTGTCTACACCTGTTTTCTCTTGACATTGTGCTTCCAACGCCATGTGTACTTTCATGTGTAGTATCTATTGTGTGGATGGTGACCGCACTTTAATTAGTTAACACTTTGGTTATTTCAGTCTTTTGCTTTCTATAGACAATTCTCAATGAATACCCTCAGTCATACGCTTAGGGTTCACGCATGAAGAGTTTTTTAAGATTACTTGTTGGACCAGAGGGTGTGTACAACTGTAATGTTGATAGACTTTTCCAGATTGTCTTGCCAGGCCGTCCCACCACACCTTGTGGTTCCCTGCATTCTCACCAACACAGGTTGCTATGAACTTTGGGATCTTTGCCAAACTTATAGATGAAGGAGACCATTTTTTGTTTGTTTATTAACATGACAGTTTTACTAAGGTATAACTAACATGCCATCCAATTCAGCCACTCAAAGTGTGTACTGTGGTGGTTTCTAGTATGTAGAGTTGTTTAGCCATCACCACAATCAATTTTACGACATTTTCATCCCTCAAAAAAGGAACTTGCACTCTGTGTCACTCTCTGTTTCCCCTCAAAGTTTCCTCCCCCAATTTCAGGGAATAACTGATTTACTTTCTTTCTCTTTCTATATGTTTGCCTATCCTGGACCTTTCATGTCAATGGACGCTATAAAATATGGACTTTTCTGTCTGGCTCCTTCCACTTAGCATAATGTTTTCAGGGCTTATTCATGTTGTTGCCTGTATTAGTACTTCATTCCTCCTTTTTTTTTAACCAAATAGGATTCCACTATATAATATATATGTATACACACACACACACATATATCCACACACACATATGCACACCATATATCCACTTATCAATGATTGGACACAGTGTACATGCTGCTGAGAACATTCACATACGTGTTTTCGCGTGGACATATGCTTATGTTCTCTTGGGTACATGCAAAGGGTTGGAACTTATGTGTCCTGAGGTAACTGTTTAACCTTTGGAGGGCATGACAGGCCAGGTTCCAGAGCAGTGGCATCATTTTATATTCTACCAGCAATAGATGAAGTTTCCAATTTTTCTACATCCTTTCCAACAGCTTGTTATTATCTGTCTTTTTAATTATAGCCATCCTAGTGGGTGTGAAATGGTAGCTCATTGTGGTTTTGATTGCAGTTTCCTCATGACTAATGATGTTGAGTATGTTTTCATGTGGTTATTGGCCATTTGTCTATCTGCTTTGGAGAAATGTCTGTTCAGATCATTTGCCCTTTTTTTTTTTTTAATTGGGTCATTTGTCTCTATTGTTGAGTTGTGGGAGTTCTTTATATATTTATACAAGTCCCTTATCAGGTAAATGTTTTGCAATTATTTTCTCCCATTTTGCGGACTGTCTTTTTTTTTTTTTTTTCACTTTCTTGATAGTGAAGCTGTTCCTCTAGAACATGAAAGTTTTTACTTTTGGTGAAGTTGTTTTTCTGTTTTGTCTTTTGTCACTAGTGCCCTAAGTGTCATATCTAGGAAATCATTGTGGGCCAAGGTCTCAAAATTTATACCTCTGTTCTCTTAGAAGAGTTTCTTTTAGTTTTGCTACATATGGATTTTGATCCATTTTGAGTTAAATATTTTTGTATGTAGGGGATGAGGAAAATGTCCAGCTTCCTTCTTTTGCATGTGAATGTTTAGTTGTTCCTGCTCTATTTGTTGAAAAGATGGTTCTTTCTCCATTGAATGTTCTTGACACCCTTGTCAAAAATTAATTGCTCATAAATGTGTGCATTCACTTTTGGACATGATCTCATTTCTGTCCATCAATTTATAAATTACCCTCATCGGTACCACACATTTTCTTGACTACTGGATATGTTTCAAAATTAAGCACCGAGAGCCCTCAAATTTTGTTTTTCTTTTTCAAGATTGTTTTGGTTATCCTGAATACCTTGGCTTTCTGTATGCATTTTAGGATCATTTGTTGTTAATTTTTATAGAGAAACTAGCTGGGATTTGATAGAGATTGTTTTGAATCTGTAGATCAGTTTGGGGAGTTTAACTACCTTAACAGTGTCTAGTCTTCTAATCCATGAACATGGGCTATCTTTCCATTTATTTACATCTTCGTGTTTTAACAGTTTTAAGAGTGTAAGCTTTACATTTTTAAATCATATTCCTAAATATTCTCTTGATGCTGATGTAAATTATCTTCATAATTTTATTTTTTTGGGTTATTTATTGCTATTGTATAGAAATGCAATTTATTTTTATATATTGATCTAATGCCTTGCTGAATTAATTTATTAGTTTTAATTTTTTTTTAGTGGAACTCTTGGTATTTTCTATATACAAGAACATATCATCTAGAAATAAAGATGGGTTTACCTCTTTCTTTCCTATTTGGATATCTTTTATTTCATCTTTATTTTCTGGCTGGAACCTCTAGTGTAATGTTTATAGAAGTTGTGAGAGTGGGTATCTTTGCTTGTTCTTGAGCTTAGGGGGGAAGCATAGAAAATTTCATCATTAAAGGTGATTAATATTAGATGTGGGATTTTTTTTTTTTTTTTTAGATGTGGGATTTTTGTGAATGACGTTTATCAGGTTGAGGAAATTCCTTTCTATTCTTAGCTTGTTGAGGGTTTTTATCATGAAGAAATATTGGGTTTTGTCAAATCTCTTTTCTGCATCTATTGAAAATGTTGTTTTTGTCCTTTATTCTCTTGGGGTGATGTTTTACATTTCTTAATTTTCAGAAGCTTAATTAATCTTACACTCTTATTTTAAATCTCACTCAGCCATGATGTATAATTCTATTTATAAATTGCTGGATCCAGTTTGCTGGTTATTTTGTTGAAAATATTTACATCTTATAGTTATAAAACATTATATTCACTCTGTAGTCTTCTTTTCGGCAGTCAAATGCTCTACCCCTGAGCTATATACCCGAGTCCTGGTGTATGTAGTTTTCTTTTCTTATGATGTCTTTGTGGTACTAGGGTAGTAGTGGCTTCATAGAACTAGTTGGAAAGTGTTCCCTAGTGAATAATTGGTGTTACTTATAATGTTTGATAGAATTCACCAGTGAAGCCTTCTGGGCCTGTGTTCTTCTTTGTGAAAGATTTTAAAATTAGGAATTTATTTATTTATTTGTTTTTGTTTTATTCAGATTTTCTATTGCTTTTTAGTTTGGTAGTTTATGTTTTTTAGGAATTTGTTTCATTTGTTATGTGATTTGTTGACATCTCATTCTCTTACCATCTTATTTGGTAATGTCCTCTCATTCCTGATTTCAGTCTTCTTTTTCTTGTCTAGGCTAGCTAAAGACTTCAGTTTTGTTGATCTTTCAAAGAACTAACTTGTGGTTTTGTTGATTTATCCCTACTGAAAAAATGTTTTATTAATTTCTGCTCCAATCTTGATTATATCCTCCTTTTACTTTCTTTAAATTTAATTTGGTCTTCTTTGCCATTGCCTTAAGGTAGAAGATTAAATTATTGACTAAGGATATTTCTGCTTTTTTAATTAGACATTTATAGTTCTGAGTTTTCCTTTACTGCATGCTTTCTATACATTTGACATGTTTATTTTCATTCATCTCAAAGCATTTTCTACTTTTTCTGGTTATAATAGGAGTATATTAATTTTTACATATTTGCAATCTGATAAATTTCTTTTTATTGTTGATTTCTTAATTCTGTTGTAGTTGGAGGCATACGTTCCATGATTTCCCTCTTTTTAAATTCATTGAATCATTTTTAGGATTAGAATATGTTCTATTCTAGAAAATGCTTCATGTGTATTTTCCAAGAACGTATACTCCGCTATTGTTGAATAGCCTGGGTAATTTTATTGCTTTAATCTTACAAGAGAAGTTGAGCATCATGTCTTTAAAAGCCTTTTGACATGCAATAAGTTACCTGTGGTCATTTCCCCTATTTTATGGAAGTTCATTATATGTTAAGGGAAATCACTCTGTCTATCCTATGATTTACAATTTTTTTTCTAGTTTGTTTGTATTTTGAACTTATTTATGATGTTTATTAGCCATATAGACAGTATTTTTATGCAGTTGATTGATCATTTTAAATATGGTTTTTAGATTTTGTGCTATGTTTAGAAATGGTTTTCCCATTTTGCAGTTAGATTTATTCTTCCTACCTTTTGGAGCTTGTGGTTTTCTTCTTTTGTGTGTGTGTGTGGCTTAAATCTGTTTGATCTGAAACTTGTTTTGCTACAGCAGATCATTACTCTAAACTCCATCTTAAAAAATAGTCTACATTTTCCTCACTGGAATGAGATGTCACTTTCATTTTTAAAAAAAGATTTAGTTATTGATTGATTTATGCATACAGAACTGGGGTACAGGCCAGAGTTGTGGGGGGTTGAGAGGATTTACCAGAGACAGAGTGGGGAGCAGAACAGGCCGACTGATGAAGTACACTGCTGAGGGGAGCAGCCAGTGCCATGTGGTCACCCCTGGGGCGGGGATCGAACTCATGCTGAAGTGGCTTTAGCTTCTTAGTGTGCTTTAACCCGCTGTGCCACCAGGGAGGGCCTGATGTCACTTTCACTTTATAGAAAATTCCCATTTGTTTGGGGGAACACAGGAAAGTACAAAATGTGCTCTATTCTATTCCCTTTTGATTTGCCTGGTTATGTGCTGGTATTGTACAGTTTTGGCACCTAGTAGGCAGTTTGAAAGACTTGACCTAATTATAGGTGTGGTTAGAAAAGAGAGCAAGAATCTGAAGAGGTTTCCCACAGTAATGATGATAGTAGCGAATATTGTTTGAGTACTTCTTGTGTTTTCAGACAGTTTGCAGGTATTATCTCTTATT